GTCATCCACAATTAAACTTCACTCCTATCCCTTATTCCGACTTGGAGCTGACTTTAGGGCTGTCCCTCTGCAGAACAGGGGAGGAGGTGAAGCTGATCTTTTTGGGGTGAGTTGTTTAAAGGCAAGTGCCTGCTCCTGGTGGGAGCCTGGGTGGCTCCAAGGAACAAAGCTGCCCCAGGGATGTGAGTGCCCACTGCTGCTCAGATGTCCCATATCAGCTGGGAGCCCTGAAAACTCCACCCAGACCAAGAGATAAGGATCTCGGGGTAGGACCCAGGGTGGGACTCAGCATTTTTGGGAGGCGGGGGGTAGGGAATATCTTAATAGTCTTAATACTTATTTCTTTCATTTTTTATTTTTTTGCATTATGTGAACTTTTCTTTTAACCTAGCTATTTTAATACATTTTATATGCATTTTTTTATGTGTATTGAGTGGAAACATTTTTTATTAAATTTTCATTTCCTACACCCTACCCTTTGGCAACCATCAGTTTGTTCTTTATATCTATGGGTATGTTTCAGTTTTGTTTTATTTATTCATTTTTTTCAGATTCCACATATTATTAATGAAATCATATGATATTCATCTTTCTCTGACTTATTTTACTTAGCATAATACTTCTAGATCCATCCATGTTGCCACAAATGCCAAAACTTCATTTTTTGAAAAATCCTCATCCAAGAATATGTTTTTTATTGGTCTAGAGAGAAAGGAGGGAAAAGGAAGAGAGAAACATCAATGTGTGAGAGAGACGTTGGTCAGGTTGGCTTCCTGTATGCACCCCGACTGGGGATGAAACCTGAATCCTGGGTATGTGCCCTGACTGGGAATCGAACCTGCAAGTCTTCAGTGCATGGAATGACTCTCCAACCACACTGGCCAGGGCTTCATTCTTTTTTTTTTTTTATTGCTGAATAATATTCCATTGTATACATGAACCACATCTTCTTTATCCAGTCATCTATTGGCGGACACCCGTGTTGCTTTCATATTTTATCTGTTACTATACTGCTGCTTTTAAAATTTCTGTTTTTGTTTTCTTGGGATAAATCTCTGGATATGGAATTGCTGGATCATATGGCAGCTCTATTTTTAATTTTTTAAGGAATCTCCATACTGTTTTAATTGTGGCTGCACTAATTTTACAATCCCATCAACAGTGTAAGAGGGCTTCCTTTTCTCCACATCCTATTACTCCACATCCTATTATACAATATTAGAGGCCCGGTGCACGAAATTCATGCACTGAGGGGTGGGGGGAGTCTCTCAGCCTGGCCTGAGCCCTCTCACAGTCCAGGACCCCTCACTCCTTACTGCCTGTCTGTTCACTGCTCCTTAGCGCTCCCACAGAGACGGGAGAGGCTCCCACCACCTCCACAGCGCTCTCCAGCCATGAGCCCGGCTTCTGGCTGAGCAGCGTTCCCCCTGTGGGAGTGCACTGACCACCAGGGGACAGCTCCTGCATTGAGCGTCTGCCCCCTGGTGGTCAGTGCACATCATAGTGACCGGTCATTCTGGTTGTTCCGCCATAATGGTCGGTTAGGCTTTTATTATATAGATTGTTATTGTATTACTGTGGATTTCTCCCTCATGTCCACTAATAATTGCTTTACATATTTAGGCACTCCTATGTTGGGTGTGTAGATATTTATGATATATCCTCTTCTTGGATTGAACCCTTTATAACTATGTAATGTCCTTCTTTGCCTTTTTTTTTTTTTTACTTTTAAAGCCTTTTTTTGTCCAATATAAGCATTGCTACTCTTTCTTTTCATTTCTGTTTGGATGGAATATCTTTTCCATCCCATCACTTTCAGCCTGCGTTGTCTTTTGATTTGAAGTGAGTCTCTCACAAGCAGCACATACATGGGTCGTGTTCCTTAATCCATTCAGCCACCCTATGTCTCTTTATTGCAGCATTTAATTCATTTACATTTAAAGTAATTATTGATTAATATGTACATATAGCCATTTTTTAATTGTTCTTATGGGTGTTCTCTATTCCATTCTTCTCTCTTCCTTTGTGGGTTGTTGTTTTTCTTTAGTGTTTGTTTTGGGTTCCTTTCTCTTTATTCTTTGTATATCTTGTGTAGGTTCTTGGTTTGTGGTTACCATGAGGTTTATGTACATCATTATGGATAGCAGTCTATTTTAAGCTGATAGTTGTTTAATTTGAATATATTCTATAAGGACGACGTTTTTACTCCCTTCTTCATTTTTTATGTTATTAATGTCATATTTTAGATCGTTTTGTGTTGTGTATCCCATAACTACCTGTTGCAGTTTGAGTTGAGTTTGATACATTTTTCCTTTTAATAATTTAAAAATATATATATGTTTATTGATTTTAGAGAGAGGAAGGGAGAGGGATAGAGAGACAGAAGCATCCATGAGAGAGAAACATCTATCAGCTGCCTCCTGCACGCCCCCTACTGGGGATCGAGCTTGCAACCTGGGTATGTGACCTGACATGGGATCAAACCAGTGACCTCTTGGTTCATGGGTCAATGCTCAACCACTGAGCAACACTGGCTGGGCTCAAGATTGTTTCTTTATGCCGAAGCCGGTTTGGCTCAGTGGATAGAGTGTCGACCCTGCGGACTGGAGGGTCCCAGGTTCGGTTCTGGTCGGGGGCATGTGCCTTGGTTGCGGGCGCATCCCCAGTGGGAGATGTGCAGGAGGCAGCTGATCGACGTTTCTCTTGCATCGATGTTTCTGACTCTCTGTCTCTCTCCCTTCCTCTCTGTAGAGGATCAATAAAATATATTTTTTTTAAAAAAGATTGTTTCTTTATCTTTAACTTTTACCACTTTAACTACAATATGTCTCTTTGGGTCATCTTATTTGGAACTCTGCTTCTGGTTAGGAAAGTTTTCCTTTCCCAGGTTAGGAAAGTTTTCAGCCATCATTTCTTTACATAAAGTTCCTGTTCCTTTCTCTCTTTCACCTCCTTCTGGGAATTCCTATACTGTGAATGTTTGAGCACTTGATGTGATCCCAGAGATCCCTTAAACTATCCTAATTTTTAAACAATTCGTTTTTCTTTCTGCCATTCTGATTGGTTGATTTCCACTAGCCTGTTTCTACATCCCTGATCCGTTCTTCTCTGTTCGCTAATCTACTGTTGATTCCTTCTAATGTGTTTTTCATTTCCTTGTGGACACAGTGAGCTCTGTTTTATGACTGCTTATCAGATCTTCCTGCACTTCGTTCGTTCATTCATTCATTCATTTATTCATTCATTCATTCATGGAACAAATGCATATGGAGGCTGTCTGTGTGCCAGGTGTATTATAGGTGCTGGGACCCTTACATTGAACCTGGCCTGTGGTCCATGCCCCCAGAGACCTCATGGCTGGGAGAAGCAGGGGGAGGGCGTTAAGTGAACACGCCCTTAAAGACATCCTCCCTGGAAATTGGGAGGATGCAGATGTTTCAGTCTGTCCACTGTGGCCTCTTTGTGCTGTGGTGGGCTGTCTCTGAGGAAGGAGGACACAGGGGCCCTTGCACGTGGGACCTGAAAGAGGGCTCCTGGAACAACCTGGGATAATAACCAACACCCCCTGCCCCCATCTGACATAAGGAAGAAATACCCATTAGAGTCATAAGCATTTGCTAAGCCCCGACTGTGTCCCAGAGGCTGCCACTTCCTGAGCACTTTCCCAAGGGCTCAGTATGTTTTACTGGGTCATTAGTGCTCCTTATGGATGGGAGGCAGGCCTTGCCCAGGCCACACGGCCAAGAGGTGGTGGTCAGTTCTCTCTGACGGCCTCACACGGCCGGGACAGAGGGATGAGAGTTGCAAGTGGATTGAAAATTCCTAGTATTTCAGGATTACATAGAAACCTTGCAACTTGGGTTGTAAGAAATCTTAATAAAATCCTAATTAAGTGTCTTCACAAAGTCTTAATACTGTAGAATAAGCAAGGAAGAGGAGTCTAGTGACCCTAAAGGAAACTTTCCTTGCTGATCAGGGTAGAGAGGGGCCTCTGGGCACTGGTTGTCTTGCTCTGACTCAGCATCCCCCACATGGGGCTGTGGAGTGGGTTTGGCGACCACAGTGGGCTCCGAGGGCTTTTTCCTGTTTCATGAGAGCGTGCAGGGGGCAATAGGACACACGGCGAGCTCTTGTTAAACAGATGCTGGTTAGTCTTGCCTGCCCCGTCTGGCACTGTGGGTCACCAGGAGGCGGTGGGCTTCCCCAGGGAACTTGGCTTGGGTCTAGTGATGCTGTAACTCACAATTCAGTGTGTGCTTTGTGGGTGGTCTGAGGGCTGGTCTGAGCAGCATCTCTGAAGAGCAGCAGGTGTCCCTGGCTGAATGGCCACTTCCAGAGGCATCAGTCTTGAGGTGGAAGCAGAGAGAAAGACAAGAAGAAGCCAGTGAGAACCTCGCCTGCTCCGTAAGATGATCAGAGGTCATGAATAATGGAGAGACATGGATACCTCTGAGTCCTGGCAGCTTGGCTGATCTGGGGCCCTGCCCTCCTCAGGAAGGTCTCAGGCCTGAGGACGTCATTCATGGCCTTTGAGACCTGGGAGGCCAGGGGGATCTCCACGGGGGGAGGCCACCACCTGCCTTTAGGGCGGATTCTGGAAGAGTCCCCAGGCCCCCTTGCTGGGAGGCCAAGTGGGAAGCTGATGCCAAGGGTTCGATTTCACCTGATTCTCCATGAAGGGGAGAGTGGGGGCTGATGGGAGGGGCTGGGAGGAAGGAGGATGGCCTGCTTTCAGTCCCCATGAATGAATGATGAGGCCCAAGGAGAAACCCCAGGGCAGGAGCAGGAGGAGGTGGCCAGCCAGAGGGTGGCAGAGAGAGGGGCCGGGGATAGGAAGGGCTCAGGGGCCAAAGAAGTGAGGGGAACGGGAGCAGCACGGTGGGCACAGGGTACACCAGACGTGGGCACAGGAGCGTAGGGAGAGAGGGTTGAGGGTCCAAGGAGGTGCAGGGAGGTGGGTGCAGTGAGCCAGCAAGTGCCAGGAAAGGGCAGCTGGCAAAATGATGCCCCAGAAGAAAAAGAGGAGGAAGAAAGACATTGACTTCATCGCGCTGTACGAGGAGGAGCTGCTGAACTACGACTCGGAGGACAATGAGGACGAGCTGGAGCATGAGTACTACAAGGCCCGAGGTGAGGGTGCAGGCCAAGGGTGGGCGGGCAGCGTGGTGCCTGGGAGCTTGGGCCGGTGCTTTGAGGGAGGAATGGGAGGTTGCACCTGTGCTGCAACCCTTGGCGTAGATGGAGCAGGTGTTACACGAGGCCCCCACTGCTCGAGAGGCAAGGCAACCTGCCCTTGGTCACGGCCTTAGTGGCACAGAATGCACTGGAGCCACAGCGCCCAACTCTTCAGGTTGTACACATCCCCAGAGCCACGTTCCAGCCCGGTCTCCACGGTGTGGGCTGCTTCAGGCAGGGCCTGACCTGACCAGGCCGTGAAGGGATGTGGTGGGGAGGAGGCCTGACCTCTCGTCCCATGCCCAGTGGGGACTGGGGACTCTGTCACTGTGGCCTCGGGAGATGGGGTCTCTGGCTTTTCCGGAGAGAGGCTATGGTCCGGGCGGAGAAGGCAGTTCTCCGGGCCCAGGGCCTTATCCTTTTAGTCTCCTGGGGAGCATGGGAGCCGCTTTGAAATGCTCCACCTTCTTGCCAGGTAAACCAGAGAAGGCACCTCAGTGTATCGCCCGACTGAGACAGGGCTTATGAAGGGAAGAGAATGACTCAGCAGAATCTGAGACCCAAAGGGACCCAAGAGGCCATCCTGCACAAGCCTCCAGCCCCAGGCTTCTCCTCTCCTACAACCAGACAGGGGTTGCCCAGAGACATGTTGGGATACAATCTCCCAAGGCAGCCTCCTTGGAACGTGGTGAATGAGCTGATGCAGTGATGATGAGGCGGTGCTTGCTGCTGCTGCTGACAACAATGGAGATGATGATGGTGGTGATGATTGTGATGATGATAAGTCCAACTCCTTATGGAATGCACTTCTTTCATCCAACTGTGGAAGAGTGTCTGCAAGATAAGGTCCCAGAAATGGAAATGCCGAGTCAAGGAAAATGACCACTGAAAACTTTATTTTGATGTAATCCTTAACATAACCTTTTAAGGGAGAAATTATTCCTATTTTAGAGATGAGAAAGTTGAGGCTAAGAAATTTGATTGAAACCACATAGCCAGGAATAGAATTGGGATTTAAATACTGGTCCATTTAGTTTCATAGTTCATATCCCTTTCATTGATTGCTTTCTCATTCATTCACCCAGGCAATTACTTATTGAGCATCTCCCACTTACCAGGCCGTGTGCTAAGAGCAACTGACTCTGACAGTTCTTTGTGTGGATGAGGGGACTTTAAGAGTTGGGGTCATGCCTCTGGGGTCAAACAGAATTTTGTGTTTTCCACAATATATTTGTCTTCCACAAGATAGTTCTTCAGCTATCTACATTTTTAATGTTTTGATTAAAATTTTTAAAATTGAGAAATAATATATATTTCAGCACAAAACTCATAAAGGTGCAACGTGACACATTTTTACATCTGTGCATGCTTGTGTGACCAACGTTCAGAACAGGACACAGAGCACAGCCAACCTCCAGAAAGCTCCTTCACTCTCCTTCCCAGCGGGAACAGCTTTCCTGATTCTATCACCACAGATTAGTGTTTTCTGTTCTTGAACTTCATGTAAATGGGATCGTGCAGTATACTGTTTTGGTGTCTAGCTTCTCTTTCACTCAATATTATATCTGAGAGATTCATCCATGTTGTGACATGTTATATAGTTTGTGTTCTTTGTTGTTGTTGTGTACTATCACATTTTATAAATGCATCACCATTGATTTAACCTTTCTACGGTTGATGGATTCTTGGGTTATTTCCAGTTTTTCTCTATTATGAACAAAGTTGCTACAGATCTTGTACACGTCTTTTGATGGACACATGCACTCATTTCTCTTAGAATTATAATTGGGAATAGAACTAGTGGGTCATAAGTGTTTGCATGGTGTTTAGTTACCAGGGCTTGTAACAATTTACACTCTTACTGGTAATGTCTGAGGGTGCAATGGCTCCACATTCTTGCCAATACTTGGCATTGTCAGCCTTTTTCATTGTAGCCATTCTGGTACAGAGTAGTATCCTGAGGTTAATGACAATGCCCAGGAGGTCATGGGAGGTGAGGGCTGTGCAGAGGGCAAAGAGGAAGGTGAGAGCTAGGTATAGGCCCTGAAGGTCGTGTCTAGGAGGACATCCATGTGCTGGGCTGGAAAGAGCACAGGCTGGGCATCTGGAGGCCTTGCACCGGACTCTGGTACTGACGCTGTATAGCGTGTGATCTGGACTTGCCCCCGGCCTTTCCTGTCGGATGAGTGTGCAGCATTAAGCGGGAGGTTTTGGTCTCACAGTAGGACTTGCTGTGGGTCTGACTGTGGCTCAGGAGATTGCAGGTTGTAGCAGGAGTTCACAGAGTCCTTTGTGGCTGGGCATCCCCTGCAGGGCTGGCAGGATCGATGGCTTCTCCAAGCCCACATAAGATTCATGGTGTTTTTCTGAGCCTGCCATCTGTCTTCTCCTTTCCTCCTCCAGTGTATGAGGTGGTCACAGCCACGGGGGATGTTCGTGGTGCAGGGACGGACGCCAATGTCTTCATCACCATTTTCGGAGAGAATGGGCTCTCTCCCAAGCTCCATCTCACCAGCAAGTGAGTACCCACTCAACCTGGGTCCTGGGCCGGTTGGAACCCAGGGGAGAAGACGTGTGTCCACAGGCCTATTAAGGGGTAGGGGCCTCTGCTAACCACAAGCCAGGTCTCTCCCAGCGATTTCCTGTCAACCTTCCTCAGCTCCTCTCCTGGTTTTTATGTGCAGAATATGCCCATTTTGAATCTCAGAATGCCCATGAGTCCATATGAGCTGTTCCTTGATGTGGGAGGATAACACTTGGGATCAGGTAGCCTGGGTCTAGGTCCAGCTTTACCACTTAGTTGCCATGTAACTTTGGCCAAATCTCGTGCATCCGAAGACTTGGCTTCCTCATACAACATCTGGAATTAATAATCCCCTTTTTACAAAACTCATAGGACCTTTGGGAAGAGGAGACAAGATCATGCATATAAGAGAGCCATGAGCTTCAATGCTATGCACCCAGGGACCCACAGTGTATTAAACCTGCCTGCATTACTTGTGTGTGTGTGCAGATGTGCTTGTGTGTGTGTGTGTGTGTGTGTGTGTGCGCGTGCTCGCGCCAATGTCTCCCATTTTATTGTAACCCATTGAGAGCAGGGGCTGCTCTCTCTTCCCTTCAATCCTTTCCCCCACCACACACGTGCACATACAGATATACGCAGTAACACTTAGCAGAATCACTGAATTCCAGAGATGTCTCGGGGCCTTGCGGATGGTCTGGGCAGCTGGCATTCAATCTGTGCTGAATGGCACAGGGGACTGATCATCTGGTCCTGAGCCCACCCCATCCTTCCTTCCGCCGGAGCAGCTCAACTTATGGTTGTTTTACTGAGAATCTGAGTCAGATTCTATTTGTGCCAAGAGCTCTATAGCCAAGAAGAATTTTAAAACCACCAAATCTAACTCAACCATTCATGGGGAAACTGAGGCCTAGAGAGGAGCAGGGAGCAGCGCTAAGTCATGGAGCTTGTTGGTGGTAGAGCTGGTCCTCCAACCCAGGTCTTGATGTCGACATTTTCCCTGAGCACACGGCCTGGTGGCCCTGGCAGGAATGGGGAGGTCTCCTGGGCTCCAGGTTTGACCTCTGGGGTTAATGGCTTGGCACCCGCAGGGGTGGCAGGGGAAGCTGTGGAGGGGTTGGGTCCACAGTCCAGGACATCCCCCCGTTCTGGGCTTAGCAGACTGACGAGGCCCCGTGTCACATGCTTGCCCTGAATGTGGGCTGTGGTGTGAAGGCTGCAGCGTCGAGGCTGGCATAACATCCTACTTTGTTTCTGCAGAACAGGGTACCCGCCTCCTTGCACTGCTTACACTGCAGAGTGACTCGCTTGTGGAGCCTTTCCCTCCAGTGTCGTGGGCACGGTAAAGAGAAGACATGAAATGCCCATCCTCTTTGCCATGTGACCTCCCAGAGGCCACTACTCTAGGGAGAAGCGACTAGACCTTGGGGATTTGGCCAACTTGGTTTTAGAGTTCCCACCCTGTCTTTTTTAAGTGAAAAGAACCATTTTCTTCCTTTCTGGTGGCTCCTCACTGTCTTTCCTGCTTCAGCATCCTCAGACTCTCCCCTCACTTTTTCATTTGTCAAAAATATCCTCTCGGGAATGGCCCCCAGGTCACCTTCCATAACCTGGTGTGAAGCTTTGTCCCTGGGCGTCTGAGTGGGGAAGGGCAGCCCGCATCCTGGGAAAGGGTCTAGAGCAGGAATGAGCCGGCAGGACCAGGAGTCTCCAGGCTCTGCTGACACCTCATGGAGGCACCAGCCTCTCCCGCTCGCCCCACGATAGGAATCAACAACCCACCCCACCACCAGTCACCCCGCAGTCTGCTGACAGGGTCCCTCTGTGTCTGCATCGCGCTCCAGGGAGGGAAGCAGGAGCATAGGTCTGGCCAGGACTCCAGTCTGGCTGGTCCCGAGGGCTCTGCTGGGCCCATGGGGAGTGGAGGCTTCAGGGCTGTGGGCACGTTTTACACTATCAGCTGTGTGCCCTGGAGTGGCGGGAGGTGATGTGTAGAGAGATGCTAGGTGGAGCGGGAGCATGAGGAGAGGTCTGCTTTGTGCCTCCCATGTCTATCCCAGTTCTTTGCCAATAGTCAGAGCTCAGTGAATGATGTGGGATCAGCGTGGCTAGAGCGGGACTTTGCAGGGGAGGATACGCTCTCTGGGCCTCACATGGCGGAAAGGACTCAGATAAGAGAGGAATGGAGAGAAGGTACTTTAGAAGGGGAATACCTTGCAAAGGTATAGTGGCTTCAGGGGGCACCGCAAGCCTGTGGGAGCTGGGAGGGAACCTACTGGCTACGTGAGGGCAGAGAGGAGGCAGGTCAGAAAGGCAGGGAGGACCAGACTGCAAAGGTCTTGCTTGAAAGCTGATCAGTGGAGGTTCAACTTACTCTGCGTCCAAGACAGATTAATCTGATCCTGGTGAGCAGGAACACGGGGAAGGAGGAGACCGGAGGCTGGCCGCTGCAGGACCCGAGACAGTCGACCGAGAGAATTGTATAGACACAATCCTCACCAGGACCCTTTCCATTCGGGTCCGGGAGGGAGCATGGCTTTCCGGGGAATTCCAGGTCCAGGTCCCCGTGTAACCCAGCTGCAGAGGCCGCGGGGTCACCGTGCTCCGTGAGGCGTAGATGCAGTTAGCTCAGCCCACCCTCACCCCCACCCGTTCCTGCGGCCCGCTCAGAATGCCCACCGGCCCCCAAATCTCTCATCTCACTATCTGTGCTGTTCCCTCCTCACTGCGCAGTGCCATCCCAAAACAAAGCTGCGTGTCAGCTGGAACCGGGCTCTCTCTCTCTCTCTCTCTCTCTCTCTCTCTCTCTCTCTCACACACACACACACACTCTACAGGCAATTTGCAGTGTACCAGATTTCAGATTTCAGTGATACTGGGGGCACCAGAGAGAGTTCACACCGCAGCGAGGTAAATATCTTAAAACGGAATAGCAGGCCCCTTAGATTCCTCCCTGACCCCTTTCTCCACAGCTCCAGCCACGTGTCTCACTCTGTCTTTCTCTGTCGCTTCTCCCATGTCCTTCTCTCTCTCCCCTCAGTTTCTGCTCTCTCTGTGCTTTTTGTCCGAGGCCCCAGGATTTTTCACCTTCCAACTCCCAAATGGCTTATCAGGATATTTTCCCCTCAACACAAAATAATTCCTATTGCAAGAAGAACTTCGGTGCCTGTTGGTGGCAAAGGCTGTGACATGTTCATTTCGATTCCCCCATAAGCTGACCTCCACCCTGACCCCCACACTGGTTAAGTGCCAACAGCCATGGCCTGGGGGTTCCCTTCACCGTCACCCAGGACCACCCCAACACTGGGTCACGTGTTCAGAGTATGGCAAAAGGATGGGATCTCATGTATCTTCTGGAACATGGTTCTCCTGTTGAGAATTCACCCTTTGAGAGTGTCCGAGAATGCCTGGCATTTCAGCCTGCTGGCCCTGCCTGGTTGGCGGCTAAAATGCCTTGTGGGCCTGTAAAGGCTCCTCTGGGTGGGGGCCCTGGGCAGGGGTGTGTGTTCTGCATTAGCCTTCATTTGCAGATCGACCAGGAGCCACAGAGAAGCCGCAGTCTCCAGCAGAAGGCATGACGAAGTCTGTTTCCTGTTTCCTTTGACCAGGGAACCCTGTCCTTTGCTGTTTCCACCCCACCCCAGTCGGTTTTCTGAAACCCACAGGCACTAATTCTGACTCACAAGAAGTGCGGATCCTGGAATCTGACCCCCAGTGGGTTGAGATTGGGCCTCATTAGGGATTATCCAGGCCCCTTCCTGAGAGAAGGGAGTCTGTGTGGCCCTGCCCGAGTCCTTTCCTTCCCCTCCTTGAAGGAGAGAGAGTCAGCGATGCAGAAGGCCTTCCTCTTGTTTGCCAAGATGATGTTGGTCTCCATCTCATAGACACCGCGGACCACTGCTTTGTTTCCATGGTCCCCTGGACGGCTGCAGCGTGGTCCCGAGAGGCCCATCCTCGATCTTTCTGCCCTGGTCTCCCTTTTTCCATCTTGTTTTCTAAAATTTGTTTGCCGAGTGATTAGAAAGCACCATGGCCAAGCATTTAACACGCTGGGATGTGAACCCACACTCCTCGGGGTCAGTGTACGGTGCCTTTCTTTCTTTTTTTTTAAAAAATATATTTTATTGATTTTCCACAGAGAGGAAGGGAGAGAGATAGAGAGTTAGAAACATCGATGAGAGAGAAACATCGATGAGAGAGAAACATCGATCAGCTGCCTCCTGCACATCTCCCACTGGGGATGTGCCCGCAACCCAGGTACATGCCCTTGACCGGAATCGAACCTGGGACCTTTCAGTCCGCAGGCCGACACTCTATCCACTGAGCCAAACCGGTTTCGGCATGGTGCCTTTCTGAAGGCGCGGAGCCTCCCTTATGGAGTACAGCTGTGAGAGCCCCTCTTCCGGAACGCTTGTTGGAGGCACCCCAGAAAGCTGGCTGTTTTCCTTCCAAACCCACACCTCCTCTTTCCCTTTCCAAGTCAGCCTCCTCTTCCCCTAAACATTGGCCTTGGCCGTTTCCCAAATCCATGCACTCTGAGTGCGGGAAGCCAGCACCCCTCGTGCTCATTCCAAAGACTTCGCCACAGGCAGCTGCGGGCCAGGGAGAGGGGGCTGCTGAGACTGGGGCTGTGCTTTCCTCATCATTGCAAACCCAAGACATGCTCCCTTCAGAAAACTAAAAAATATATACAGGCCAGGATACATAATAAACAAATAACCAACACTTCTTCATAGTCTTTCCATCTAGACATGTTTCTGTAGGAATCTCCCAGTCTTCATGGTTTTTAAATGAAATCGGTGTCCTGTGTATTGTTGTTCTGTTTGTACATTGGATTTTAATCTGCCTCCCTTTTTAAAACCTCTGTCATAAACTTGTCTGTTTCATGAAATCTTCTTTTATAACAGAATTTTCAGTGGCTGCATAATATTCCCTCCTATTGCTCCCCAGGATGACTGTTTCGTAGGGTATTTATTTGAGGTAAAGACTCTTGTCTATTTATTCTAAAAATCCCTTTTTTTTGGGGGGGGGGGATCTCATATGTAGAAACAGAAAATGCCTCTTATGCGTTTCTTTGTTTCTATTCACATTATTCTGATGCACAGGGTTGATGTTCAAGTATTTTCCAAGTCATTTAACCACCACTTTGACTCTGAAACAAAGTACAGGTGCGCTGTTATTTACCCTTGGATGTGAGAACCTGACAGGGACATTCAGCGGGCCTGGGAGTGGGCCCTTGCTCTCCAGCGAAACCGAGAAGGGTCGGCCACTCTCGCCCCCTCCCCTCTGTGCCCAGAGGCACCTCTGGGGCCTCTTTCCCCTGACAGTTCGCCTCAGTGTCCACGGTCACCTGGTTTCATGAGCTCTGCACTGCTTTAGGGGGGCCGTGGGCCTGGGTCTCGTGCTGTGCACACCACCGGAAGGAGACTTCACCCAGGGCAGAGTGTTTGCCAAAGCGGGTCTATTTTCAGAGTCACAGCTTCTGAGTCTGTAGAACCTTAAAAGCCTTTTGTTACTGAGAGAGCTGGAGCCTTGTTGCCTTGGGGAGAAGACCCTTGACATCTCTCTTCATTTGGAAACATATTGATGGCAATAAACAGGCATATGTGTCTGGGTCTTTCTTTTCCCACGGGCTGTGCTGATGCAAGATCCCTGGCTAGGAGCTCTGAGGGAGGTCTACAGCTCTCAGCCCCACAGAGGCATCACCGTGGGGCAAGAAGAGCTGCGAGCAGGCCGGGCTGGAACGGCAGGGGTCCTGGCCCACACAGAAGACAGAGCAGGTATCCACGTGCGATTCAGGCTTTCGCTCCTGGAGGACTCCATGGTGCGGCTGCTCCAGCCCTCCAGTGTCTAAGCTGATGGGATCTAGGATGCTCCCGGGCTGGCCTCGCCTGGCACCTCACTGTGGAACATCTCAGGTGTACCTGCTTCTGCTCGCACCATCTGCAGAACATGCCTTTCCTCACCGCCCCACTTCCCTGGTTGCTGATTTGGGTTGAGTTTCCTTTCTTGTTGGAATGGCAGGACCATGGGCTCACACCCAAGGTCTGCATCCACTTGGGGCTGCCATTGAACTCTCCCCAGCAAGAGCAAGGCAAGAAAGGAGAGGCCAGGAGGCCTGCAGGCCCGAGAGTACCACGGCATCCATCATGCCTTCCTTCCTCCCCCACTGTCCCAACCCAGAGCAACCGGAGGGCGTTGGATCGTGGCTTTGGAGAGCCAGGTTCTGGTCCCAACTCTGCAATCAACTAGCAGTTTACTTGAGTGTAACATGGGGCTAATATTGCCTGCTGTGCTTGCCTTAGTGGTACATGACAAGTATCCTGAGAACCTGGGTGTGAAAGCAAGGAATGAATACTCACCGGCCTTGCCCCGGCCTCTTCAAATCACATCAGAAAGGAATCTCAGAATGGGCTCGGTTGCTTGTAGCACATCCAGGAGTGGGACGGTGGAGGAGGAAGGGGATGCCAGCCCTCGGCTTTCCTCCCGGGCCTGTGAGCCACGTCTGATCTAAGCTATGTGCATGTTCATTGCAGGAGCAAATCTGCCTTCGGGAAAGCCAACACCGATGTCTTCCGGGTGAGAACCAACAATGTGGGCCTCATCTACAAAATCAGGTGAGAGTCTGGCCCCCGGCCAGGCTGGGATGAGATGGAGGCAGGTAGATTAGGAACTCACTTCACTATTGACACTTTCTGGGTGTTATTACTCTCCTGGTGTCATTTGAGGGGAGACCAAAGGCCTGATTCTTTTCCTTCTACCCCAAGTCACAGTTTTCTAAACTTCCCCATTAGAGATTCAATTCTCTGGGTTAAGACAAGTTAAGGCAATTTTTCACAAACTTGGGAAATGTGCTCTGAGAGACACTAGCACAGTAGTTAGAGGCAGACCGAGGCAGTCTAGACTTATTAACATCATTAATAAGCATCTTGCAAGTTATCCCCACTTGGTAGATGAGGAAACTGGGGTTCCAGAGGTAAAGTACCAACAACAATGATTGAGCCTTTCCTTGGAGTAACAACTGGGTAGTCCAGCATGAAATGGGAGTCATCTCTGTGCTGCCATGACAGTGTGGGTGTGTGCTCCTGCCCAGGATTGAGCATGACAACACAGGCTTGCACGCCAGCTGGTACCTAGACCGTGTGATTCTGACTGACACGAAGCGGCCTCACCTCCGTTACTACTTCAACTGCAACAGCTGGCTGAGCAAGGTGGAAGGTGACCGCCAGTGGTGCCGTGACCTGTTGGCTAGCTTCAACCCCATGGACATACCCACAGGTCAGTGCCAGGCTGGTTCGCCCACTGTCCCTCCCTGCTAGGGCTGGGCTCACCCAGGCCTCTGTCATGCATCTGGGCAGTCCCATCTCGCCTTGCCACCCTCCAGGGTCTTCCTGTTGTCTAGGGCCTGGGTGAAGCTCCATCTCTTCCTTGTGGCCTTCCCAAGAGCAAGCTTGTATGGGAAGTGGGGAAATGTCAGAGGACCTAGAGACATGATAGAGGGGTGGACGGGAGCAGCCCTGAACACATCCTGTGTTTCAACAACTCCTGTTAACGGGTATCTATGTTAACTGAGTTCAAGGTCAGCATTCCCTGCTTTCCTATTCCATTACCTCCCTTCTGATGTCAAGGAAGGCGCGTTACAGTCAGGGCATGGTGGATGGGAATTAGAACTGGCTGCCTCCAGTGTCCCATCATGCTGCCCCCGGCTCCTGATTTTCATGAGTGAAACAGCTTATTTCAAGTGCATGTCTGGCCAAAGGCCTTAAATTCAGTCATATTAGCTCAACAGGACTCGGGAACAAAGCATGTAAAAACACACACTGTAGTCCATGTCCCATTTTATCTCATCTTTGTTCCTTAAAGCTCTGACCTCCTCACCTCGCCCTATTATTGAACATACTTTTCCAAAAAGGACTAGCACATGTGGGTACATTCATCATAATATCCTGGTCACATAGAGTCATGGGCCACCGGAGGGAAAGGCATGTGGCAGCCAGAAGTGACACTCCTGTGGTCACAACAGAAGGCTGACACACCCCGTAGATTCTGCCTTCCAGCATCTACTCTTGGTCTCCAAGTTCCACTCTCTCTTGCAACCCAGCTGGGCAGAAACAAACATATCCTCTGTCCCAATGGGCTTCAGCTCTCAGTTTCTCTGTCTACCTCTGATCTCCCATCTCCCAGCTGACCTTGAACACTTGACTTGTTCCCCTGATCCCTATCATAACAACTTGCAAATTTATTCTTTTTTTAAAAAAAGGTATGTTATTGATCTTTTATTATAAAAAACAAATTTGATCATGACAGAAGAATTAGAAAATAGAGGCACCCTTGTTGAAAGTCATTTGACCATACATACATGAGGGTTTGTTTCTGGGCTCTCCGTTTTGTTCCATTGGTCTAACTGTCTGCCCTTATGCCAGTCCCATGCTGTTTGATTATTGTAGCTTTATAGGAAGTTTCAAAATTAAGATGTGTGGGTTTGGTCTTCTTTTTAAAGATTGTTTTGTCTTCAGGGTTCCTTGATGTCTTGCTTCTTTTAATGCATCCTAAATTTTCATTAACTCTTTGTAACAGTGGCAATATACCATATTGACTTTGCAATCAAAGGGCTCTTATTTACCCAGAAGAAAAGAGGAATATGGTGCCTGCACCCCAAGTCCTAAGTTCTTGCCAAAGACTTCAGGCTGCTGGAGAAAAATCCTGGATTCTCCTGACTTATCCCCAATGAGTCAGCAGGAGTGGGCGTCCCAGTCTTGGCTGGCTGGCTTCCTCCCCACATTTCAATGGACTGGTACAGGCATCACACTTCCTGACTAAGAATCTCAGACGTGTGTGCACACTCACAGGGAGTTAGCAGCCATCCCTGTGCTTGTCTCCCTCTTAGTGTGGGCATCAGGGGTCCTGGCACTTCATGGGGCCTGGGGAGGGTTCGTAGGCACTTTTTCAGCATAACCACATTAACATAACCACATTGGTTATCCCTGGGGACACAGTCTTGGCTATCAAACTGCTCCAGAAGTTTAGTGAAATTTCCTTCCTGCCATCGCCTCTTGGCATTCCCTCCATTACCATGAATGCCTGACTTTATTCTGCAGGATTTCTTCCACCCTGTGTGGAATGGTTCACCTTTTGACAACCCAGAACCCAGAAAAGGAGAGTAGCTACATTGGCATTTACACATGGATGGCAACCCCTGTCCAGAGCCTAAACACAGTCTTCAGGCCTTGAACTGACAGCTGCTGCTAACAGCTGCCATCGGTGATGCCTCCCTGAGCTGCTCTTAGGGGTTGGGTCTGGGGTGAGGACATGGTTCTTGCCCTCCAGGTGCTCACAGTCCAGTGGAGGGCACAGATGGCCTTACTACCAGGCACCCATAAAGAGGGTAGAGGGCATCATGGTTCAGAGCTCCAAATCGCAAGTCATAGAGTCCTAGGTTCAAATCCCAACAATGCCATTTACTAGCTACATGTCCTTTGGACAAAATACTTCTGTAGCCTGTGTCCCATGTGTGTACATTTTGCAATTACTATCTAATTTAAAATTCAGAGCACCGCTAGGAGGTAAGGTTGATTACTATCTCCACTTTTCAGGGTTAGGGTTAGGGATTAGGGTTAGGTTAGGGATTAGCATCAGGGTTAGGATTAGGGATAGGATTAGATTTAGGGTTAGGGTAGAGTTAGGGTTAGGCTAGGGTTGGGGTTAGGCTTAGGGTAGGATTAGGGTTAGGGTTAGAGTTTAGGTTAGAGTTAGAGTAGGGTTAGGGTTAGGGTTAGGGCTATGAATTAGGGTTAGGGTTAGGGTTAAGGTTAGGGTTGGTTTAGCGTTATCGATTAGGGTTAGGGTTAGGGTTAGGATTAGGTGTAGGGTTAAGATTAGGATTGGGTGTAGGGTTAGGCTAGGTTTAGAGTTAGGGTTAGGGTTAAGGTAGGGTTAGAGTTAGGGTTAGGGTTAGGGTTAGGTTAGGGTTAGGTTTAGGGGCTGTCACATGGTAGGAAAGTGTGGGTTAGACCTATTTTGGAAGACTCTGCGTGGACTTCTCAGTGCCGATATGGTATCATTTGCTGCTTTCTGGCCACCCATCCCAGTGCCACCCTCCAACTCTCTCACCTTGAATAGCATTGAGATGATCACGTGGCTTACTTATGAGCCCATACCACATTGCTCAGGGAAGCTCTGGGCAATGAGACAGGCCTCTGAAACGGAGAGCTGAGTTCCAGCTGGCCTGGGGCTGTTCACACCCCGGGGCTGTTAATGCCCAGGCACAACATCTCGTCAATGTTTCAGAGCCAGGCTCTGCCAACAGCAGAGTGGGCCCTTGCTCTCCTAAGGGCCCAGTTTGTGGTGGGTCCCATTCCCTCCCCTGCCAGCTGGGACCTGCTCACTAGGCCTCCTTAGGAATAAGTTTTTTTTCTAAGAAGTATTTGTCTTTGGTGGATTAATAATAAACATGACTGCAGCCTGTTTCATGCCATGCTCCAAAGAGACCGAGGGGCTAGTTGTCGGAGAAAAGAGAACTATACCAAATGGTATAGCTAGTGCTGGGGCTGAAAGCTGCCCGGAGTCTGGGGAATGGGATTGTATTTGTCCAACCCAATCACTGTGTCCACGTATGGTTATTTCAACAGGTAACTGGGTTGTAATTTCACTGCAGCCCACGCTGTGCTATACAGTGATTATCACACAACTCCAGAAGTGCACCCGGTCTTAGCAAGACCATGGTGGGCAAGTGCCTAAGGTGCATTTGAAGAAAGGACGGGACAAGACAGGGGTTGTGGTTAATGTGTTAAGGGCCTGTGCAAATGGCGCTACTTGCAGTGAATTGCGGCCCTGCCAGAGGACTGCATGGTGCAAAAGCAAAGGCAAATGGAAAGCACTCTGAGTGATTGATGCAAACAACTCCCATCATGAGGGTCCTGCCAAATAAGCCAACAGGCCCGACTTGCTCCCAGCTTCTACTGGATAATACCAGGGAGTAATTAAACCATTAATTAAAAATATAACTCTCTGGGTCACAAAGCACATGAGTCTCTACACCCCGAGTTCTAGTTCTGGGCTTCCCACCCAATAGCGATGAGACCTGGGGCAGATCTCAGTTCCTCTCCCAGCCGCAGTTTCTTCCTCTATAGAGTTGGGCATTCCGGTTGGCCTCTTGAGTCTTTTCAGGATTAGTAGAGTGTTTACCTTCACAACCAAATGACAAAGATGGGCCCAGGACTAGCCCTCCTCCACAGGGCGAGAGGAGATTGGCTTTTGATGACCTCCCTTATGCTATGGATATGCTGCCCCCCCCCCTTTACTTTCTATTCTTCTACATAGTGCATACCTCCCACCTATGAGCTCAGTCTCTGGACCCTTATTCTCTGTGGTCAAATCCTGACTCTGCCACTCCACCAGTGGTGCAAGCATGCCTTAAGCTCGTTGCCTCCATTTTCTCATCTGTAAAATGAGGATAACATGAATTTCCACTCACAAAGTGGTTGAGCTGATTAACTGGGGCAATAAACACAAAGGACTTAGTGCACGGTGGGCACAGAGTAAGTGCTCAGTAAATATCATGGTGGTTGTTGCTCTTGTTGCTATTCTGATGTTTCCTTGTCTTCTCCTGCTCTTAGGCTTGCTCTGACTCTGAGATGCACAGACTCAGGATTCTGTCCTCTCAGAATCAGAAAGGACTTTGGAACCACTCAGTGCCAGGACCCGCCTCTAGAATCTGGCAGGCTTGTCTAGACAACTGGGAATGGACTCATGACCTTAATTGCCATTGAAGCCTGTGGGAAGCACCTTTCTTCCCAATCCTCTTCCCTTCCTTGATATGTACCCTTAACAACACTCATGTTCTCCAGGGCCCTCTGAGCTTTGGTTGCTGTAGGTGCTATTAGGAGTAACTGTTTTTTAGAACCCTACGAGGTGGTCCTGGGCCCATGGACTCACAGTGATGAGGACTTCAGGGTGGGAAGAGCTGGGCCAGCCGCGCATCACTCTCCTCCTCTGAACTTCACAGCAGCTTCCCGCCCACCCCATCTGCTCCCACGTAGCAATGCAGAAAATCATCTCCGGAAAGAGTGGGAAGAAGAAAACTGCTTTGAATGAGGCCCCAGGGAAGAGTATCAGATAATTTCAGGACCAAAAGGGATTTTATCCATTTTATAGAGGAGAAAACAGAAGTCCCATTGAGTTAAGTGACCTGCTCTTGGTCACCCTGGCTCAAGATACCAGGTCATGCTCCTCCAATGTCATGCAGTGATTCAGTGGGTGTTTATTGGGAATCTTTTATG